CCGATCTAATGTGAGTGACATTTATATTTAATTAATGTCTTGTTTTTCTAAAAGCAGACCAAAAAAGTCGAGTTTTAATATAAAATGCTATCATTTAACTTGATATATGATCTGACATTCAATTACTCACGCATTGCGTCCCAAATGTGTTAACTTCTCAATCGAGTTATTAATATGATATGTAATACTCTCATGAATTCAATGGTTTCTAATACTATATTAAATTAAATTGTTTTTCCAAATAATTAACTTTTTAACAATTATTGATGACAAAATGTAATACAGTAAATGTATTTATAGTGTGTATAGTTAATAAATATTTCAAACATAACGCCAAAGTTTAAAGACTTATTGTAAATCATTTTTAGACAAATTTATTTTAAAGTATTTATGCATAAATTAAGCATAAATGTAATTAAATTTTTAGATGTTTTAAAATAATTTCAAGAAATTACACAATTTGTGTTATATTATACGACTATCACCGATAAAACATAAACACATTTTGATTACTGTACAATATTTTTGCGCATAAACTCTTTAATTACAATACAAAGTATAATATTTTATTTACAATTAAATCACTTTATTGTTTCAAATTATAACTTAATTAAGATAATTAAACGTAAAATAAATAAATATCCTTATAATAAAGAGTATATTTGCCACTAATTTAGACAATTAAGATTAAAAATAAAAGTTTATTAACAATTAAGAATAATATTATTTTAATTACTCAATTAATTTCATTTTGAGATTGGTTAATGAAATAATTTGCATTAAATCCGATTGTAATGTAACTTAAATTTGCAATAGGTGATTAAGTAATTACTAATACAGTACTATATTCTAAACTAAGAATATCTTTGAATTAAAACATTATATAATTTTTTGAAAGACTTTTAAAAGACTTTTAAAGTGTATTTCTTATCGCACATAAATCCTAACAGAATATGCTATAAATTCTATGCTTTAAAACTTGTTTCAAAAAAGCATTTCAAATGATATTTAATTATTTGGAAGACAAATCAAAGTAAATTGAAAATTAGAGATTTATTTGAAGATTTTGAGGGAAAACCAGATATTTTCAGATTTGAGACTTCATTCCTCATGAGATGAATGCTGTCACACAAGTTCTGGACATAGGTTCAGAAGTTTTTGGTATAATTAGAGGCACCAGAGATGCACATGTCGTAGGCATGAGCGCATACATAGTATTACATAACTTTATATATATGTAACATAGCTTATGTTACATAAGCACCGGTATGCACCGGAATAGTTAGAGAGTTGGTGACAGTGCTCTATTGGAATCAATTCTTGAGCACTACATCTATGAATTGATGCTAAAACTAGATTATCGTATTGGAGCTCAACATAAATATCACAATCAATTGAATGGATTATTTATTATTGAATTATATTTATAAATAATCATTGATTTGGTTCAATGATTCAATTAATAGTAACCACTATTTGCTGAACGCTTTGCTTATTCCTTGAAAAATCACTTTTGAAGCGATAATAAATTAAAATGAAATAAAAACTTAACCCAAAAACTCATTGACTGTAAGGTTTGAGTCATTGAATTGACTAAAAGTTTTGGTTTCAATGGTATTAACGAAAAGAGCAAAATAGATATGAAATGCAATGCATTGCCATATATTCGCATCAAACCTAATGTGCATTTGTTTGGCTTTAAATATCATAGCGTTTCCACTTTATTTCGTATATATTTTTACTAATATTTCATATTTCATATATTTATCAGATAATTAACGAAATATTTTCATGATATTCATTGAGTGAAATTTAAATTTCACTCAATTTCGTAAATATTTACATTGAATACTAAGTAATTAATAATAACATGTTTTGATTATTGGTGTAATTCTAGTCATACATACATTTAATAATCCATTGAATTAAAGGTATTTTACTGTTACATGCTAAATATTTATAATTATCATTATTGCTGTAATATAATTAACACAATTTATAACCTAATAAATATAATAATAATAATATAGTAATACTAATGAGTGATATATTGAATTAATGGATAAATATATGATAATTAGTGTCAGGAATCGATTGATTGGTTTGGGTCTTAGGGCACGATTCCGACCCAAGAAGTGAATGACTGAATGAATTGTCGATACAGTAAACTAACGGCTGTATTGACCACCGATTCCAGTCTCGACACAATTGATCCCGACTTTTATGAGCCCAACGAAGACAATCTCATGAGTGATCAGACAGTTGTGGCCAACGATTGCGACCAGAATGAGAAACTCCTTCAAACCAATTACTATAATCAGTCCAACAATTACTTCGGTACTCAACACCAAACAGGTATGTCTCTCATGACCACCATTTCATACCATATTCCTCCCGTTCACTCAAATGTCATCACCTGTTTGCCCATTATCGCACAACCTTGCTGCTATTATTGTATCTCTGATAGTCACATGTTTTACTATAATTGAGATCACGTTATATATGATTAAAATACCGAAAATTTCCAAATTATTGGCCAATAAATTATCTTTTAATTATTTATCGCTTATTTTTACGAAATATATGCGAAAAGAGATTCTTGTATTAATTGTTATGATACATGTGTGAGATATTCAATGTGTTGAAATATATATATTATTTTTATAACAATTTCAATGCTTAGCCTATGATATTCTGTGATACAAATAATGGTTTAAACAATTAAACGCCGATTTTATCTCATAGTTATCTAATCAACAAATTTATTAAACAATTACTGATTACTGACTCAAAAGTTTTTTTTACTTCTCTTCAGTAATGAGATTTCTGTAAAGTTTTCAAAACTTTTTGTTTTTGTGACGAGTTTTGAGGCACAAGTGTTTTAATGGGAACAAGTGAGACAATTGGCATTACATTATCATTAAATAAGCTTTATAAATTAATGAAATTATATTTAAACTCTAAAGAAATTATATTTAATTTAGTTGAATACTGAATAATATATTGAATAATGAGTGAAAAATCAAAATTTAGTTTTATTATGACAGTGTATTCATAAATACACGACTCATATGAATGATTAAAATATTTTAATTGGTTTATAAAATTATATATTTATATAACAATTACATGTGTTGTAAAAACTGATCCCTAAAATATATAATACTGTCTAAAAGTATGTACTGTACTCGATGTATGATTAAAATGTACGACATAAAAATAAATATGTTTTTATAATAACAAAGTCGACCAAAGTATTAAGTCGCTTTGAACGTAAATGCTAAAATTATATTTTAATATATTTATTACGAAACAATTGATTGCAATACTTTTAGTCTTTTACTCTCAATCACAGGACAGTAATTATCACTTGTATTCACTTGAGATGTATTATAAGTTATAATACTTTATAACTCTATTTATATTTTTATAGCTACTGAAAGGCGTCTTTCATTTCATTTAACTTTATCGACAAATACTTAAAAATCTATCATTGAATTCAATAATAATAATTTAAATATCAGATATGACATGAAAAACAAGAATAACATTGAACTGCATATACTCTATGTGTAAATGAGTGTATAAATAATAAATAATACAATTTCTATGAAATACGCCGATTAATGCAAACATTACTTTATCTGTTTGTAAATATTATTTCATATTTCGATATTAAGCACATTATGTTAATTGTATACGGATCCAAACAATTGATTGCAAATCGCTTACCAATTGTTTGATGTCCTGATTATATAAATCGATGAATTGAAATATTATAATACATTTCGTGATATCATAAACGATTGAATCGCATATAAAGTTGATTGGAGATTCATATATCATACATACATGAATACACTACCTTTAATTTAAAATTAGTTGAAAATTTATTAAGCATAATATAATAGGCATTGCATGACATTTGATAAATACAGTAAATATTATACCAATCAATATTAGGCCATAACCTCTAAATACAAATGCATTTAATTAAATTTAATCAAAATTTTTGAATTTGTTTCTCTTTTCATTTATTCCCAAATGGTTTATAACTAATATTTATAATTAGTTTGAAGTGTTTTTTATTATAAAAGTTTGCCTTCAAAACTACTGTTATATTAGTTTCAAACGTTGTTTTCAAATTAATTTATATATTATTTATATATAAATCATTTTATGCTATTTATTATTAAACAAAATTTTAATCTTGTGAATTATTATCGTATATTTTTACCTATCAACTGATTTGAACGAATTTTCAGTATTATTTATATAATGTTATTGTATTATATTTAATACAAATATACGTTTATTTTGCATTTCATATGTGCCCCAAAAAATTAATAATTGTTGAATAAATATTTGATTAGATTTGAATGAAATATTTGATTTCAATTGAATCCTTTTCAAAGTGATATCTATATAACAAATGATTGTCCAATTTGACGTAAAATACACACCGTATAATATTTTATGAACTCGGAGTTTATTTCGTTAATAATATTGAAATATAAGTGTTTGAATTCTCGTACAGTATTCTTGTACCTTTGATAATAAAGCAATTATCTAATCATTAATAATTATCTAAATTGTTCAATGTCTTAACATAAACTTTAAGACTAAAATTAAAATTTGTCGCTTTCATTCAAATGAAACTTTATTCCCATAATAATTTATTTATTACACGTGAAAAGTTTATAATAATAGCCGCGCTTAGAAAAAAGTTTTATTCATTTCTTTGAAAACTGTTTACACATTATGTCTAAAACAGATGAGAATAATAAGTCTAAAAGAGTTGGTCCGCCGCCTATCAGACATGGAGTGGATTACGTTAACCCAGAAGAAGAGGATCAAATGGTATGTTACCTGCATTTGCGGTCAACTCTTATATCAAGTCTTACATATGAATGAAAAGGAAATCTATGGCTACAAACCGAGTTTGGGCCGCAGTATTGTCACATGGATTGCTATATTAATAAGTTGTGGACTTTTGCGCCTTTTATTCCATTGGAAACCCCATTGGATGCTATTCTGCACTCATGTCAAGTGTCCGTTAGATTGTGCCAAAAAAGTATTACTTGTCGTATGTATTGATTTCAATATATTCTAAACACTATATTCTTGTCATTTCATTGTATTTCACTTTTTTTAACATTAAAGGACCAGTTTTTGCAAATATTTACTGAAAACATAAAGCATTTGTCATCCAATTCACTGAAATACCAATACTCTCAGTCCAAAGAGAGTTTGGAAGTTCCCTCCAATAACACGAATGCATCCCAATGTCTGGTTCGACCCAAATCTGACGGTATCTTTGAATTGACCAACACTTTGACATTCTTTGAAAACAAAAAAGTCCGCTATATTTGGGACTCAGAAAAGAAAGAATTCTTCAAAGTTCGTGGACTAGACTCAGACATATACTGCTCTTATTTTTACCAACAAAAAGGCCTTACGATTGAGGAACAGAATTCCAGGTACTCTTCATTCAGATTCTTATAAACTTCTAATAAGTTTCTTAGGATTCTTAGGATTCTTATAATCAGTTTTCTCGTGTTTACAAATTAATCATTACTTTCGTATTGCTTTCCGACAGACGGATCCTTTACGGCGAGAATGCCATTGTAGTGGAAGTGATGACAATTTTACAAATATTAATCCAAGAGGTTTTGGAGCCCTTTTACATATTTCAAATTTTTAGTCTTCTGGTGTGGCTTTTGGATGAGTACTACTATTACGCCGGATGTATTATTGTCATGTCCTCCCTGTCCCTCACCACAAGTGTCATTCAAACGCGAAGAAATCAAAAACAATTGAGAGATACCGTTGAGGGCGTCGACACCGTCAACGTCTGTCGCGGCAATGAGGTGTACGAAGAGATCGAGTCATCGAAGTTAGTTCCGGGAGATGTGATTGAAGTACCCGCTTATGGATGTATTATGCAATGCGATGCCGTTGTCATCACTGGTAATGTGATTGTCAATGAATCCATGTTAACAGGTTAGACATGGCTTAACATACAGTATTAATAGACATTTGTCATAATAAGCTCATTATATGTCTGTATGTCAGGTGAGAGCGTTCCGGTGACAAAGACTCCTCTGCCCAACACTACCATCGATGAGAAGTATGACACTAAAGAACACGCAAAACATACCCTCTTTTGCGGCACTAAAGTCATACAAACGCGATATTATAATAACGCAAAAGTGAAGGCAATTATAATCCGTACGGCATATCAGACAGCGAAGGGAGAGTTAGTCCGATCCATAATGTTTCCCAAACCGGTTGACTTCAAGCTCAACCGACACATCCACCAATTCATTGGTTGTTTGGCTGCCCTCGCATTCATCGGATTCATATACACCGTGGTCCTGAAGGTACAGCGTGGCAATCCGTGGCATAAAATATTACTTAAGGCATTGGATTTGATAACAATTGTCATACCGCCAGCACTTCCCGCAGCCATGACTATAGGTGTGGTGTTCGCACAGTCGCGACTCCGGCGCTCAAATATCTTTTGCATATCTCCGCGATCTATAAATATTAGCGGATGTATTAATTGTGTCTGTTTTGACAAAACCGGAACTCTTACCGAAGATGACCTCAATTTTGCAGAAGTAGTTCCCGTCAATACAGATAAGAATAAGTTTGAATCGGCTGTCGATGTGTTGACTGAGTTAGAGTTCGGACCATTGCTGGTATGTCTCGCGTCGTGTCATTCGTTGACAATAATCGACGACAACATAATCGGCGATGCATTGGATCAGAAGATGTTTGACGCCACGGAATGGCAGTTAGAAGAGCCTCACGTCAGCGATACCACCAAATATGACTTATTGGCCCCAACTGTCGTCAAACCCAAGAACAAGAATGTGGGCCCAGAAGTGGGAATTCTGAGACAATTTCCATTCTCATCTAGTCTTCAGCGGATGTCTGTTATCACCCGATTATCGAATGGCACGGAATTTGAAGTTTATGCAAAGGGAGCGCCAGAAACTATATCAGTCTTATGTGACCCAAACTCATTGCCCGACGACTTCACTGACACTCTCATGGAGTACACAGAGAAAGGGTTTCGAGTGTTGGCATTAGCCTATCGTCCGCTGCCAGCCATGACATATCCGAAGATGCAAAGAGCCAGTCGTGAAGATTTAGAAAAGAATTTACAGTTTTTGGGTTTACTTATTATGGGAAATATGTTGAAACCAGAGACCACTCCTATTATTGAAACCTTATTGTCTGCAAACATTAGGACTGTTATGATTACCGGCGACAATATGCTAACAGCTCTTAGTGTGGCGCGAGAGTGCAATATGATTCAGCCCTACCATAAGGTAGTACTCCTAGAGCCCGATCCCCTCACTTATGATGAAGATATTCCTTCACTTATCTGGAAGTTTGCTAATCCGGTGACAAAACGCAGACATTCTATAGTGAACTTCAAATTGATTGACGGACAGGAAAAGGATAGACTACATGTGGCCGTCACCGGCAAGACTTTTAAAATATTGCGCGATTATTATCCTGATTTACTCAACAAAGTAGCCATAAGGGGAACTGTATTCTCTCGGATGGCACCCGAACAGAAGCAGCAACTTGTTGAACTTTTACAAAATTTGGGATATATTGTGGGAATGGTAGGTATTTTTATTACCATAGTATACAGAATATTGTTATTCATCACAATAATTAACTTATCAGTTTATGACCCCGAGTATGATACAAAATTCTGTGTTAGAATTATTTCGAAATAGTAATTTGACTCATAAAAGTAATTAGATGATTATAAAGCTATATTAATACCGATAATTTTATTTTCTACAATAAATTAATGATAGGTTTTTATGTTATTTTGATTTTAGCAAAACATTTAATTACTTTTATCAGATTTGATGTGAATTGAAATTTGCGTCAATTTGAACCAATAATGAATGAATGTCTATAATTAACTATAATTAGTGCGGCGATGGAGCCAATGATATGGCGAGTCTAAAGCAGGCGCACGCGGGGGTCAGTCTATCGGAGGCGGAGGCGTCGGTGGCCTCACCCTTCACATCCAAAACGCCAAACATATCGTGTATCCCAATCCTGATCCGTGAGGGTCGGGCCTCAATCGTCACCTCATTTGGGATCTTGAAATACATGGCGTTATACAGTTTGACTCAATTCTTTTCAGTCATAATCCTTTATACCGTAAGTGTTGCCAACTTTTAGCAATATTTCCAATCCTTAATGAATGCAAATCTAACCGATTATTGCTTTCATTGATTTGAAGTTTTATTCCAATTTGACTGATAAAGAGTTTCTATACGAAGATCTCTTTCTCATTACTCTATTTGTCACACTCTGTAAGACAATTACCAATTGATGTCTTGTTGTCAAATGATCTCATCTTTGATGACCTCTTATGCCAACAGTCGGTAGAACTGAAGCCTTTGATCAGTTGAACCGAAAGCCTCCGCCGTCTTCACTGATAGGAATCACTCCCTTGTTTTCCATTGCATTGCAAATACTTTTGGTGGCATTTATTCAAGTGATCGCTATTGTCATCGTATGGCAACAGTACTGGTATCGACCCCATGTGACCAGTGATCCCGAAGACCTTCAAAGTCATGACAACTACGCTGTCTTCGCCTCATCCGTCTTCCAGTACATCACCCTTTCGGTGGTCTTCTCTAAAGGGGCGCCCTATCGGAGGCCTCTCTATTCAAATCGTATGATCTTTTATACCATTAACTTTCATCAAATCTATCATTTGTTTCATTTAATCAATTCAAGGCTTATTTACCCTGAGTTTGATTGCAATGAGTTTATTAACGGCTTATTTGGTGTTATATCCGACCGAAGGAATCGCAGAATTCTTTGAGGTATTCTTCGGTCTCAAGAATTTCTTATAAAAACTAATTTCTATTTCGATTGCTATTAAGCTCGAGGTTAAGACAATTCCCATCAACTTCCGCCTATTAATGGTGTTGTTAGCCATCGCTCACTTCATTCTCGCCTTCTTTGCTGAGGTATGTCTTCAATCCCATACCCAATGGCACTAATTCTTGCGATTCCTATACTTTGCAGTCATTTATTGTGGATTACTTGGTATTCAAGAAGTTGAGGAAATGGTTTCCATCATTAGTTCCGTCTGAATCTCTATACAAGAAGATTGACAACGAGACCAAACTGAGCACCCGATGGCTGCCCAACCCATTGGCCTCCTATGCAAAGCCTCACCGACGGAACGGATCGACAGTCTCCTCGTCCACAAATCACACCCCAAACGACATAATCAGCAAATCCTCTCCGCCTGAGTCGGGCGTTTGGACTCAATCTCAGGCCTCGTCTGTCAGTCCTATCATGAGAGACAACGATGTCTTGCGTTCAGACACTCATCGAAAGCCACCCATTATTTGATGCAATCATTACATCATTACATCGAAATATATGATAATATAAAGAGATAATAACCATTCAATTGATGGACTATTTGTTATTAAATTAGGAAATAATTGCTTTCGACTATTAATTAACACATTTCTCTCATTACATGCCAACTAATGGTTGAAATTTTATATAATACTAAAAAATCAATTCATTTCTAATTTAACTGTAAAATCAAAACCAAATTTATATACTTTTTATAAATTATTAATTTTATTTAAATGTTTGCATTTGAAAAAGAAAAGGATTTTAACGATATGTCAATTCATTTGTTTTGTTTGAACTCTTTTTGTTCATTAAATTGTTTAATAAATTATGTAAATTAAAAGCATTTGATTAACTATGATATGATATATTAGTAGAAAATTAATTAATTGCCTTGCTAATTAATTGTTCATAACGTGTCTATTGTCTAAAAGTATATTAATTTTGGATTCACAATAATATTACAGCAGATCTAAACGAGTCTTAAATGAATGATAAGATAATTAATTTCCTAAATCTATCATGCTAAATAGATTTCATTCAATGACGAATTGTCAAGGTAAATCTCATAGGCACTTATTGGGAGGGAATGTGAGAAGTCTATGAATACTGTAAGTTATTCATCAATACCTGTGCCCTTGCCATCAAATGGTGTGCAAAAGTATGGATGAATTGGTGACAGTATTGATGTTTGCGCCCAAAGTGTGGTTCAAGTGTTTTCATGAATGAAAACATTGATTGAAAAGTGTTTGCAATTTATAAATCATTTACTAAACCATTGAAAACCATTGGTGTGTCAAATGTCTGGTGAGTTGAGTGCCAGTCGTGTGTCACAAGTGCTGCCATTAGTCTCGTGGAAATGGATGTCATCGGAGGTGACCGCAGGAGACAATACGTTGTGTCCGATTCGGTGCACATTCTCTTCAGACACCGGTTTGTCTTGATTTGCATCCATTCAGACATCCTTTCATTGAATCCTTCATAATATCATTGCTTTTCTCTTCCCATCAGTTGATCAGTACTTATGGCTAATAAAAGGCTCACAACTGGACATCATATCAGTGAACGCCGACAATGTGTCAAATCAGCGACAGTTGGGATCAATTGACTTCTCGCAGGTCTTCGAAGATACAAACATTAAGATCTTAAATGTATTGCAATTAATGGATAGTTTGGACACTTCGGCCAAAAGTAAATACATTTACACTTTGGCGGTGTCTTTGCGGCGAAGTGTCGGCACATGTCTTATATGTCTGATTGATGTCAGACTCAGTCTAATACTGAAGACAATCGAAACGCCGTTCAAAATAACGAGTTTAGAGATGATATCCAACAACAAAGCCAACGCTTCTGACAAGAGTTGGCCACTAATTGACGAATTGTTGCAAATGAATGGCATTCTTGCGATCGGCACTGAAGGCGGACTCGTCTTCCTTCTGGACCTATTCCTCGACTATATAACACCATTGAGTGAAGCATTGATACCCAAGAAGTTGTCGTTTATTGTCTGCAATTCAACGCATATTAACCTGAAGTCAAAGCGCAAGACGGCTGCCCTTCACGACCAACTCATATGTCTTCCGCTAAATAGTGATTCGCTTCTTAAGAGTCGTTTTGTATACAAAGCAGACGACGGATCCGTTTTGTCGGCATTTCCCAAGACTCTCGTGTCGGTCACTGCACTCCAATATGTACCGCAAACGGCTTTCCTCTGCGTTGGCTTTAATTTCGGCGGATTTCAGTTCTTCAATATGAAGACATTCAAACTCGAGTGCAGTTGTGGTCTCGAGTATGGATTGCCTCCAGTCGTGCGGTTCGCCTTTCAAGACCCCGAAAACGATCCCAAAAACTATTCCTATATTTGGGTCGTCAGAGGACAAGAAATAGAAGACAATTCGGGCCATGATTTGGATTCTTCGCCTCAAAACCAAACCTCCATTTCAAACGCTATAATGTATTCAATATCTTTCGACAATAAGGAATGGATTCTGGATTACGGCATACTTTACACCGGATTCCAGGGCTGTTCCTGTCGTTTTGAATACATTTTAGGCCCAAACCCTCACTTCCCTGACCCCAACCTAGCATTTAGTAGTCGTCTCATCGACTGCTATACCATTCCGTTAGGAAACCATTCGTCTAATAAGTCTTCAGACGACGAGTCCGTTAACTTGGATTTAAGCCTTTTGTTCATATCTTGGGAAGCGATGTCTGATTTGAGTGAAACTAATTCGTCGACTTATTTCGCCATTTTTGATCTCAATCAGTGGTATCGCTCGCAAATGCCCACAGATATCAAGGTCTCCGTCGAGCGACCATTTTCACCATTTCTGGGAGTTTTCTCGTTATCAGACATCGCCAACAGTATGTCTCCCGACGCCATAGTGTCGGTTCAGATGAACAGACAAACCATTACTAAATTCCGTTCGCAAGCATTTCAAGACGACATCCATTACTATCCTTCTTCGCTATCATTTGATGTGATAATAGTATCGGAATCGCAAATATGTAGCGCTTCTTATTTGGGTCTTCCCAAGAGGTGTTTGTCGCAAATGGTTAGCCACGGATCCAATCTTCTCATTGATCCTAAAGAATATGTCAACACTTGTGTCATCTCTGGTTTGGTTGCACACGATTTGCTTCAAACCACACTTTCGACACAACTTTTACGTCAAATAGTGCTGACCGTCGCCCTCGAGAACGATTACCTCCCGTTCCTCATACAAGTGATCAAAGACTGGTCTTCTGGTGAACTCATTCACTGTGGATGTGATTCGAAGTTCATATTAGACTGGATTTGGAGTAGAGTGTCGTCTATTAAGAATGAAATCGATTCAATCACTTATCCCTTATTTAACTTTTCGGGTCAACTCTTGGATAACTTTAATTTATCGCAACTCTATGCCTACGAAAGTGATCTCAAGTCCTTAAACATAATGCTTAGGGAACTGCAAACCACAGGCGCGCCCACAACCAATCAGGGACTCCAGGATTTGGCGCTCCGACAAGAAGTCACTCAATTGATCGCATTTTATTTGCGATCACTTCTCTGGTTCTACGAAATAAATCTATTGCCCGAACACTCAGAAGAGGAGGCCTTTGGGGAGCGAGAAGTGGCGTATCCGTCCACTCAATTCAAAGCCTACTACACCCGACACCGCAAAGACTTGCATGAAAGCAATCCCACAGTTATTCGTCCAAAAGAGCTCTTATTAATCGATGGAATTGTCGACTCTTTTGGTCCCGATTTGGCTGACCTTTGGACTAAAGGAGGCGGCGATGGTCTGTATCCGCCGCCGAACTTACATTCATTGCTCGCAATATTCCTCTTGGAATCGGCGTCTTTGGCCCAAAAGCAGGCGCTTATGCTTTACTCGCTCTTAGATTTGGCGGACTTCTTATCGGACCGTCAGAGCGATATCGTCGAGAAGATACGACTTTACCCATCAGTGTTTGGCCTAAAGTCAGGTCTCATAAAAGCTGTTCAGGCCTTCTGGGGTTTGGACCACAAGTTGTTTGATTTTGCGCTTCAGTTCCTATTGGATCCGGTGGTCAAACCATTACTGTTAGGGAATAGAGATAAAGAAATACAAGTGTTTAATGATATGCAGCAAAGAATTGTTATGTCATTCTTATACCAGAATGAAGTGAAAAGTGCGCTAATCTATAGTCAAAATTGTGGTCAATTCGCGTTAGACACTCCCCTTCGGGAACAGCTTCACTTGAATATGCTTTTAGTTAATCAACAGATTTCTAATGCATTCCAATATCAAAGACTTTGTAGAAACGAAACCAATGCCACAGAACTTCTGTACCATTTGTTTGAATGCTGTGACAAAATGGGTGCCATTGAAGAGATCTTTAGAATACCATTGGATCAGTTCGAAGAAGAAGTGTTCACTAATTATTTGCTGACATCCGACACACCGAATGCCAAACAAATGCTTGTCCTCTACTTGATTGTCAACAACAAAGTCATTGACGCCTCGAATGTGTTGAATGAGTTCAGAGAAGAGATGACTAATACTCCGGACATAGAGATGGCAGAGAAGACCAAACAATTGATTCTTCTAATCAACGCCTATGTGTCAGCTCTGCCCCAATCGCTCACCAATTTGGCCAAAGAGATCGCCGCCATCGAAGAGAGCAAATCCAGACAAACCCCTAAAATCATTATTTCAGACACCGTTCCCATTCACGTAGAGCCCAGACCTATGGCCATGGAATGGGTCGCGCCATCCAAAGCCATTGAGAGTATTATGGAACAAATCGCTGATATCTGGAACAGAGAAAAACCTAAGGCTCAGAAAGTGTCGACTCCTTTGGATCCAATTAAAAAATCGTAAGTATTTTCAAATTATTTTATTTAAGATAAAAACCTTTTCTATTTATATATCTATTGATTATTTTCCAAAAGGGTGTCAAAAGTACTTATTTCCCAAAACTCACCATTTCTTCGGACGCCAACCACTGATAGGAAAAATGTGCGAAAAGGCATTCAATCGGCTAAAACTGTTTACCCGACGCCTAAACATATAGATTCCGACGAGAAAAGTGTTGCCAAACATAAGACTAAATCTATTGCCGACGGGTCGTCGCATACAAGAAGTGCCTTAAGAGGAGCCAAACCAACGAAGCAATTGAATTCATCTCAAAACGAATTGCTTACAGTTCTGGAAACGCCTCAAATTAAACGCAAATCGTTGGCCAATAAAAGCAAACCCAATCTCGACGTCCAAATTCAAAACTATTTCACTCCGACATCAATACTTAAAGTAAAGCAAATGATGAGACGATCGGTGAGTCCATCGACCATCACATCGCCATCGATTTCTATGAAAAGTACGCCAAACAAGACTTTAGAGTCGACTTCATTGCAACAAAAGCTCAGGTTTTCAGTCCCCGATTCACCGAATTTCACGGAAGACAGCGTCGAAAACCCCAGATTGGCCTCAATTAAGGACACGTTTGCCTTGAAATCATTGAAGAGTAGTTCGCAACCAATTGAAGAAATGGATGAATCGGTTCCAATGGATGTGACCACTCAAAGCAATCTCATAGACTTTGATCACACACTCATTGAAAGCATGACTGATATCAGATCAGATGAACAGGAAATTAATGTCTTAAGAACTGGGTTTGTGTTCTCTCCGCCACAGACCCGCTCTTCGGCCAAAAAAAGTAATAATACTCTCTCTCTCTCTCTCTTTCTCTCTCTCTCTCTCTCTCTCTATCTCTATGTGTCTCTCTTTCGGTAATATTTAATTTGTTGTACAAAACTAACGATTTGCTTATATTTAAGAAAATGCATCTAAAAGTGTGGGAATTGAAGAGTCAATTGAGATGATGTCGGAAGAGATGTCACGAGTGAATGAATTTACGTTTTCACAGTTAGAGGAACAGACAAAGACTTCGAAACAGAAAAAGAAAACAAAGTCCAAACAGAAGGCAGAAGCAAAAAGTGGTAAACTATTTGTTGTGATTAATCATTCAAACAATTAATGACTTGATTTGAATTTCAGAGACGATAGAAACACCAGTACCTGAAGAACCGCAACCAATGTCTCAACAGTCGACAGCCGATCCTATTGTTAGAGAGACTCCGAGTCGGTCTCCTACTCCTGCCTCTTATATGGATGACTCGGACTCTCATAAGAGTGATGTATCGCAGGTATCGTCCAGTAAGGCGTCCACACGATCCTCACGTTCTTCGAGAACTCCGACTAAAAAGTAAACATTTGTTGATAATTAGTGTCCAATAAATGATTTATTTGATAATATATTGACAGAACTGTTAAGAAAGTGACGGAAACGCCGACCCATTCGATGAGACTCAGAGGAAGCACTTCTAAACCAAAGAAATGATTTTAAAAACAAATAAAATGTTTGTTATATTTGCATAAAATATCACTTTATGTCTCATTTATAAGACTTTTTTAGTTCAGATAATGAATTTCAATTGAATTTATTTATAGTTTTTTAAGTAAAATATTAATAAATAATTATTTTTACCAAAACTTTTGACATTTGTTTGACACGAATGGAGACGTTATTAGTGTTTGTCATGACTTCTGATGACGTGTTTTGTGGCTATAATTGAATGACTGATGAGTTGTTCAAAGTTTTGATTACATTAGCACTCGGTTTAAGATATCCGTTGATTAGGACACCATTGGATCAGATCGATGGCCAACACGTTTCAGGACTTCATCGAAAGCGCCGAAGATGTGGACGGAATCCGATTCGATTGGAATGTATGGCCGCAGACCAGAGTGGAAGCGGCGAAGATTGTGGTGCCGTTGAGCTGTCTGTTCACACCTCTCAAGGAATCCGTGTCCAGACCTCTGCCGCAGATACAGTACGAGCCCGTCCTCTGCACGCGACAGAACTGCAGAGCAGTTCTCAACCCTTACTGTCAGGTATGGCCTCAGAGGAGGTGGTCATGTGGTGTGTGTCACGAGACACCCACTAATGGATGTGTTTGTGTGACCTATAGGTGGACTTCAGGGGTCGGATGTGGATCTGCAACTTCTGCTTCAACCGCAACGCCTTTCCCGCGCAATACGCGGCCATCAGTGAGACGTGTCGTCCGGCAGAGCTGTCGTACTCGACGCTCGACTACACGATAGTGAGGGCGCCGGTGGCCTGTCCTCCCATTTTCCTGTATGTGATCGACACGTGTCTCGACGAGGAAGAGCTGACAGCACTGAAGGGAACCATTCAGATGTCGTTATCACTGCTTCCGGCGAACGCTTTGGTCGGACTTCTGACGTTCGGCCGAATCATCAGTTTATGGGAACTCAACGAAAACTGTTTGCGATCCTTCGTCTTCCAGGGCAGCAAAGACTACACCGCCAAACAAATCCAGGAGTGGCTCGGATTGAATCCCACAGCCGGACAGACACCACACCCGCAACAGCCGGCAAACCCACAGCAGCCAAACGCTCCCAAAAACAATGCCTCGAAGTTCTTGCAACCGGTGTCTGAATGTGACTCAATCCTCACGGATATCATCGAACAGATGACTCGTGACCTCTGGCCCACCCCTCAGGGCAAACGCCCGATGCGAGCGACCGGTGCCGCGCTGTCTATAGCGGTGAGTCTGCTGGAAGTGGCGTACCCTAACTGTGGCGCCAGAATAATGCTGTTCATCAGCGGACCGGCCACTATAGGCCCCGGAATGATCATCGACGACGACTTGAAGAATACCATTCGCTCGCATCACGACATCGAGAAGGATCAGGTGAAGTACATGAAGAAGGCCACCAAACACTACCAGGCGTTGGCTCAGAGGAGTGCCGTCAACGGCCACACCATCGACATCTACGCCAATGCTCTCGACCAGACGGGTCTTCACGAAATGAAGTACTGCGTCAACTCGACGGGTGGGCTCATGATTATGGGCGACTCGTTTGACTCCAGTCTCTTCAAGACATCCTTCCAGCGAGTGTTCGCTAAGGATTCGCAAAACCAGTTGAAAATGGCGTTCAATGGCATCATCGAAGTGAAGACATCGCGCGAACTCAAGGTGTCGGGTGCTATCGGTTCGTGTGTCAGTATGAATGTCCGCAATCAGTACGTCAGCGACACTGAGATCGGAATCGGCGCCACCGCTCAGTGGAAGTTCTGCTCATTGAACCCAACGGTGACGACAGCCATGTATTTCGATGTCGT